CCTCTTCTTGATCTACACCTCTTTCTCCTCAAAACCTTCAAGAACACACCAAGAGCACTTCAATCTCTCAAGGAATTAAGGGAAAACGATGTTGGGGAGTTCTGGGGGGTGAATGGGGAGGAGTTGGGGCGGAATGAGGGTTTAAATAGGGTGCAAACCCTTGAAACTTAGGGTTTCATCCAGCAGCGGTGACTCGCCGAGTCCAGGATATGGACTCGCCGAGTCCAGGATATGGACTCGCCGAGTCGCCCACTTAAACGTGTCATGAGTCTCGTCCCTACTCGGCGAGTCGGACCTTATGACTCGCCGAGTCCAAGGCTAAAATAGGGCAATGCTCAAATAAAATTCACATACCGGAAACCAGATGCTACACTCAACTTCAAAACATTCATCATCCATTGCCTTAGACTTGTTTTTCTCAAAATCCCTCAATAATTTTTTGGAAAGTTCTTTTGTAGCTTCATCAACCACCGTGCAAACAAAAGCATCTATTTTTGTTCCAGCAAGATGATTCTTCATTCTAAATACTCCTCCAGAAAAAAATTTATTGCAACAATTGCATTGCAATCTAACTCTATTTTTTGGGTCTACTTTAGTACAATGTCCCGAAGTGATATCTGGTTTAGCCTTTCCTTTTGGCATAATTAAACTCTACAAACCAAAGGACCTGATCAAAGATAATCAAATTACTAAAAAGAACATGATCAAAAATAAAAAATTGCACACAGGGAAGAAAGAAAACAAGAACACATATAATATTTGAACAGATAAAGAAGATAGACAACAACAGGGAACAAAAAACGAGAACAGGTTAAGAAAAAGCTTCTGGGAAAGAGTTAGCTTCTTGAACTAACTTACATAAGTTTAAAAAACAATATATTCTGAAAATACCCCTAGGGACTCTTTTTGTCCCAGAAAATTCGAATCTTTGAGATAAAAAAAACTGATTCAACAAATTTATTCACATTCAATATCATAATCTTATACAAAAAAAGTGAACAAGAGGAAAAATCATTACATGTTAACTAATGAAGGATTGTGAAATGATGAAGGAGTGAAGGAGAATTGTAGAAAAAGTTAAGAAGAAGAATCCTAAGAAAACTCAAGAAGTATCGCAGGTAAAGAAAAAGAAGTAAAAAAGACTTAGGAAATGAAGAAGTCTAGGAAAAAAGAAAGAAGAGACAAGAAGTCCAGTTTAAGAAAAGATGGAGCAAACATGAAGTTCAGTTTAAGAAAAAAAGGATAATACCTTTTTACACTTTGACTTTTCTGTCCATAAAACCCATCATACAACTGGATAATAGTTTTAACCACTGGATAATAACTTTAACCATTGGATAAAAGAAAGTAAGTCACATGTTTCATGACTTGTTCGATTTACGAGCCAACTCGACTCGGTCCGAGTCGGTACTTGAACCAGAATTTTTTTACGAGCCAGACAAAAAACGAGTCACCTTATGAGTTGAATCGTTTTGGGTATCAAATGGCTCGACTCGTACGAGTCAACTCGTGACTCGTACGAGTTTAACAACTATGTCCCCACCTTGTCACATTTCCTTCTCAATATACTTCTACTATTAAGAGTCACGAAGTTTGTAATCCTCTCAACAACAATTTGTCTTGTAAAGTTTGGCATCATAGACATGGTCATTTGCCTTCATACAAACTCAAACATATTTCTATTTTTCCTAATAATGATGTTAGTAAAATTATTATTTACACAAGTTGTAATCAAGCAAGGCAATATAATCTCTCTTTTTTCTCATAGCATTACTCATGTTTCTCAAATTTTAAGCTTGTTCGTGTTGATGTTTGAGGCATGACAATACATCAACTTATAATGGTTATTGACTTATTGCTTATTTCTCACCATTATGGTTAACATGAGGACACACCTATTAAGTACCAAAAGTAATGTTCTTCCCACCATGCAACACTTTAAGACAATGCTTGAAACACAATTTTAAACTAAAATCAAGACATCATCTTCCATTAATGCACTCACGTTAGTATCCAAACAAAAGAGTGCTTAAATTTATATTTCTAAAGACATACTTCACCAACCTAACATAGTTGAAACGCCTCAATAGTGAAGAGAAGACACAAACATCTACTTAAAAATTCAAGGGCCTTATTATTTCAATATAAGTTATCTATTGAAATTTAAGGAGATTGTGTGTTAAATGCCATATCATATCATATCATACTATATTATAAGGAGGCATTTTTCCTTTCATCACATTCATTTGTAACTCCCATGACTTTTCAATTTCTTTATGAATTATAATTATAAGATGGTTAATAAGGTTAAATAAATATCAAATTTAAAGAGTAATCATATATAAACTAAATTTCAATATTAAAAATAGCATCTTACTTCTACTTATAAAGTTATGTTTTTTAACTTTTAACATATTATACTTGATTTATATTTTTAATATATTGTTGGATGTAAATCATTATCATTTTAAAGATACACTTTTGGAACAATTTGTATAAAATATTTAAATTATTAATTTGAATATAACATTACAAGGTCAACTTAAATATAAATTTTAGTTTAACTTAAACAACCGAAAGAATATTTTATAAATAGTTAAAAGTGATTAAGTGTAGTGTCTTTCTAATAAAGATTATAAGTTGGTTGATAAGGTTAAATAAATATCAAACCTAAAGTATAATCATAAATAAACTAAATTTCAATTTTAAATTAATATATTTACTCCTACTTATAAAGTTATATCTTTAACTTTTAACATATTATACTTAATTTATTAGATTTAATATGTAGTTGTATGTAAACCATTATCAGTTTAAAGCTACAACTTTTGAACAGGTTGAATAAAATACTTAATATAGTAATTTAAATATAATATTACAATGTCAACTAAAATATAAATTTCAGTTCCACTTAAAAAACCAAAGATTATTTTGTAAATAGTTAAAAATGATAAACCATAGTGATAAATGCAAAAACTAAATTGTAATATCAATTTAACTAAAATATTTCCTAAATATATTTTTATAATCGTTAAAAGTTTTCAAATAAGTAGCTAAAAATAACTTACAATATCAATAGTTAAAAATAACACTATATAAATGATTATATTGTTACCTTTAAAATAAAAAACAACAATGTTTGATGTTTTAAATAATTATAATGAGAGAAATTAAAATATCAAGCAAATAAATTTTAAAAAACTAATTAACAATAACAACTATAAATAATATTAAACCATATGTTATATTTAATTTTATTCATGTGTAACTCGCGGTTAGAAGTCATTCAAACGATTGAGATTATTCAGTTATAATAGATGCATGTATTATCATATAATTCAAAATAATCGATATATTATATCAATTTAGTATACGAATTATTATATCAAATTTAATAATAACGTAAATGTTATATTTAAAAAACATATATTTGTAAGTGTTTCAACTATATAGGTGTTTCTGCGCAATGCGCGAACATTCGCCTAATATCTAATAAACAAGTGCCTTACTAAATTACTCCTAATAAAACACATTTTGAAGTTCTATTTGGAACCACTCCATCTCATACCCATCTAAGAAACTTTGGCTATCTGTATTATGATTGTACTCTTATTTAACATAGTGTTAAATGTGATTTAAGAATTGAAGGCCATCAATGGTCTTGGCTGACATACCATCAGTTGATTAGTAGCTAGTGAACCATCAACCGACAAAACATTAATTTGACTATCGATTAGCTAGTGGAATGCAAACCCAACCCGATTTAGCTAGGGTTTACATTGTATATATATAATGGTTAATAGTTAGGGCTTCAATGTTACAATGACTATATTGTCATATCGTTTTCAATTTTGTGAATAAAAATAATCTTTCATGTTCATGGACGCTGGTCATATTGTGTCTTCATGTGTGTATGTGTGTTTATTCCCATTTTTCCTAACACAAGGTATCTATAATTTCATCCTAAAGCCTTGCCTTTGTTTTTCGTGGGTTATCCTCTTGGAAAGAAAGCCTACAACTATATAACCTTCATACATCTAAATTGTAACTTTTTAAGAATTTCATGTTCCTTAAACATCCCCTTATCTCAATCACCCTAACAACACCACCATTTTACCTTATTCATAAGAAATTGATACCTTTTTGGTTATCTTCACCGCCATCTGTTCCATCTGTTCCATCAGCTACTCACTCCACTATCGACCACATGAACTCTCATTGTTTTTTTCTCTAACTTCAAGTCTTTCACCATCGTCTGATCCACACATTAGCTCCCATACAACCTTCTTTCATTGTGCGAAGATCTTCTCAGGCTCATTTTCCTCTCAGTTATCTTGCTGGTTATGTTTGTGATGATGCCACTGTCTATCTTCTAGCTCTTTGTGTCCTTATACTATCATGGTAACTTTTTGTGTGCATTCTCACAAATTTTTATGTACCATCTCCTCTCTAAATAAGCAAATTTTGGACAACCTCAAACAAAAGAAGGAACCTAGTTGCTATGGGAAATCAAGACACCCCTCAACCTATTTGGCAAGCTACATTGATGAAACAAATCGAAGCTTTGGAAAGTAACAAGTCATGGGTTGTTACCGACTTGGCCAAAGGATGAAGGAAGAAACCCAACAATTGTTATCGATAAGCATAAGACACCTTCAACTTTTTCAATATACCAAATGTAATTTTTTTCATTATAGGTGAAAGTCGCACCATAAAAATGACCATGATTAAACACATGTAATCAACCAAAACATAATTTAAGAGCTCTAAATACATGGAATTGAGACAATTAACACAACCCTAAACCTTGGTTCAATGCCATTTCATTATGTAAATTGTTTTCTAGAAATTGAGTGTAAGAAAAATCCGGAGAATTTCAAGAAAAAGTGTCATCAAACAACAAATGGTATTATAAAATCGTTACAAATATTGAAAGTTATAACTGTTAAAAAGATTACCAAATGGTGGCAGATAACTCAACCATTTCTGGTCATTTTTTTGAATTTCATTATATTATTCTTATAAATTTATTTCTTAAATTGTGCTGAAATCATCTACATTAAAATGAACAGAAAATGATATGGCTAAATAAATGAGAAGATATAAATATATAACTCAAAATGTATAAAGTCTATTATTTTCCAATAATGAAAGGGAAAACTACAATAAAGTCCCTAAGTATTGCCCGTATAATCGATTTAGCCCTTATATTTTTTTTTTTGCAATTTAGTCCTAAATACCTGTAAACGTAATCAAAACGAGATATTTAATAGGTTAGCCGGTATCCCACCTTACGTGTACAAGTGAGTTTTACCCTTCCATTTCCACTGCATTCGACGTCTGGTAAATCGATTGAGAGAAAAAGATAGGGTTTTTACAGAGTGATACACGAAATAAGTAAGGTTTTACTGAGAGAAACGAAGGTAAAACCCAATGGTTGTCGAATCAGAAGAAGTTCGCCATGAGTCATCTGAAGAATACGACTCTGAAGAATACGAAGATGATGACGAGGTGCTCGATACTGAGCACATAGATGTGGAACTGGAAGAAGATGATTTCAAGACACAGGGTAAAGAGAGATGCAAGGATGCTTTCCTTAACTTCAGTTCTGATTATGAAGATAATGAAGCCGATGAAGACAATGACTTAGTTGATGAAGATGAAGAAGGGTTTGGTTCAGAAGAGGAAATCGATGACACAGCAGGGGCTAATGATCTTGATTTGGGAGATGCGGTTGGTGCAGGCTTCCCCATTCACGACCCATCAGTTAAGTGGAATAAGATGAAGCCCCTTCTTGGTGAAAGGTATGAATCACCACATCAGTTGCAACAATGTCTCACTAATTATGCTATTAAGTCAGGGTATAACATTAAATTTGCGAAGTGTGACACTGTGAGATTAACTGCCAAATGTGGTTCTAAGATGAAGTCTCAACCCTGCCCATTCAGAGTTCATGCTTCCTGGATGACTCAAGAAAGGTCTTTTCAGATTAAAACCTTAGTCGATGAGCACAAATGTGTTAGAAATTTCAATATTTCAAATTTACTGAGTCCCAGATGGCTAGCAAGACACTTTTTGAAGGAGTTGATAATGAAACCTAACTTGAAGTGTAAGGAGATGCAATCAATAATTAGGACCAAATTTCATTGTGGTGTATCTTGGTCTAAGGCTTACAGAACAAGGTGTAGAGCAATGACCATTATAGATGGTAAACTTACAGAACATTATGCTAGGGTGTGGGACTATTGCCATGAGTTACTAAGGTCAAATCCTGGTAGCACTGTCCAAGTTGGTGTCACTGTAAATCCAGATGAAACAACATACTTTCACAGGATGTATTTGTGTTTTAAAGCAATCAAGGAAGGTTGGAAAATAGGGTGCCGTAGGGTAATTGGTCTAGATGGATCTTTCTTGAAAGGGACATGTAAAGGAGAATTACTCACAGCAATAGGGAGGGATGCAAACAACCAAGTTTATCCAATTGCTTGGGCAGTTGTTGACATTGAAAACAAAGCTAATTGGAAATGGTTTTTGGAACTGCTCACAGAGGATCTTAATCTGCTAGATGGAGGAGGGTTTACTGTAATTTCTGATCAACATAAGGTTTGTAATTTCTTTGCATATTTATGATTTTTCCTTAACATCATCTTATATGTTTATGTATTCATTAAATTGTAGGGATTGCTTGAAGCAACCAAAGAAGTCCTACCAAATGTGGAGCATAGACAGTGTGCAAGACACATATATGCTAACTTTAGGAAGACCTATTCTGGAGTGGAGTTCAAGAATATGTTCTGGGCAGCTTCCTTATCAACTGTAGAGAGTGAATTTCTCAGGAAAATGGATGATATAAAAGAGGTTAATCCAAATGCTTATGAACATTTGATCGCAAGAGATCCTCACACATGGTGCAGGGCATTTTTTAGGACTGATGTAGCATGTGAGGCAGTTGAAAATGGCATTGCAGAGTGCTTCAACGCCATCATATTGGATGCTAGAAAGAAACCCCTTCTAGCAATGTTTGAAGAAATTAGGTTGTACATGATGGATAGGTTCTACCATATGTTACAAAAGGCAGAAAAGTGGGAATCAGTGGTTTGTCCAGCTGCTATCAAAAAAATGAACAAGTTTGGAGAGGATTTGAGGTTTGTCTTAGCATTTTTATTGTTCCTTGTTATCATTATTCTAATTTCATTGTTATGATTTCATTTAGTAATGCCATTGTAGGAATTGGAATGTGAATCCAAGTGGACCATCTATTTTTGAAGCCAGGAATGGATTAGAAGGGTACGTGGTTAACTTACAAAGCAGAGTGTGCAGCTGTAGGCTTTGGGATATCTCAGGAATTCCATGTGTACATGCACAGTGTGCAATATTATTCACTGGACAAGATCCTGTTCATTTCATAAGTGAGTGGTTTCATGTGGACAGGTTCAAGGCCATATATGCAAACAATATACTACCTGTGAATGGTAGAAATTTATGGCCTAGAACATCATACATAAAGCCTCTACCCCCTTTAGCTAGAAGAATGCCAGGGAGACCAACTCTGAAAAGAAAGAGGCATGCCACTGAATCTCAAGACAAATACTCCCAAAATAAGATGAAGGTTACAGGAAAAGGAAGGACTGTCCAATGCAAAAATTGTCTTCAAAGGGGTCATAACAAGGCATCCTGTAAGAATCCCAAGGTCACACCAGAACCCAAACCCAAGAAAAAAATGGGTAGACCAAGATTGGATCCTGATATCAGTCATTGGACTAGAGGTGGTGTAAGAGGTGGTGTCAGAGGTAGTAGAGGTGGTGCAAGGGGTAGTAGAGGTGGTAGAGGGGGTAACAGAGGTGGTGCAGTGGGTAACACAGGTGATGTAGTGGCTAACAGAGGTGGTGGAGTGGCTGAAGTTGAAGGTGGTGGAGTGGCTGAAGTTGAGGATGACACTATTCCTGAAAAATATTTAGTCCATTTATGGAAGGCAATGCAAGATTTGAAACAATCACGGTATTCAACTGAAGAAATTAAAAAGTCACTTAGTCTGACAGATTCACATATGAAACAACTCAATGATTACAATGACACTATTGAACAAGTTCTTCCTATGTCTATGGTAAACCCTCTATATTACCTTAATGTTTACATTCGTTTATGTTATTAATTGCTTGATGTTTTATAGGAAGAGGAGTATCCACCTCAGACAGAGACACAAGATGGGGATGAAGAAAATATCCCTGAGACACAACCAGAAAGTGAGGAAGAAGAAGAAGGCATTAATGACACCCATGAATTACCAGTACACCTTAGGATTGTGAAAAAAAGAAGGCCCTCTGAGAGGATTGTTAAAACCAAGCTGAAGAAGATGGGATGTGTTGGGACTTCTTCAAATTCACCATTGGAGTTGGATTAGGGTGTTAGGGTGTTAAGGGTAGTAAGGGTATTTTGGTACATCTTTTGTGAATGCTACTTTTGTGCATCTTTTGTGAATGCTACTTTTGTATATCTTTTGTGAATGCCCTTAAATTACTGATAACCATATTTTGTACATCTTTTGTAAACACATTGAAACATTGTGAATGCCCTTAACATGGTTGGTAATGACATATTGGAGTTTGTTGTTTAATTATTTTAGCCACATTGAAACATTGTGAATGCCCTTAATATGGTTATATTTGTCAAGTGTACACCATTTATGCAAACCAAGAAGGGCACCAGCAACACCTCTGTAGTAAGATCTTGTTATTGATCTAAATGATTCTTGACCATCCTAACAAATATATAAAGAAAAAAGAAGAGATTTTTTTAAGATTTCTTTTTATAATAAATGTAACAAGAGAATAAGGTATAGAAGAAAAGAAGGAGACAAACTGTGTCCCAGATTTGGAGCTTTATTGGTTTGTTGTCAATGGTGATCATTTTAGTCCCAAATTCAACACCAATTGTTAAATCATGGTTATATTTGTCTAGTGTACACCATTTATGCAAACCATAATAACATATTGCCATTTCATTAACCGAAACATTAAACTATTACATCAAAATTTATCTATTACATCATGATGATAACAAACCAAAAGATTACATCATCCCTACCATACCATAATACCCTACAACTTACACTAAACTAACCATACATCATCCCTACAATGAAACAAACAAAACAAACCATCATCCACTTGCAGAATCCAAATTCATTACTAGGCACATGTGTATTGTCACACATTGCAATTTGATTATCAGGTTCAAGAGCATTCGCAGGGGCAATAGGGACATCAACATTCACAGGGGCAATAGGGCCATCAACAGGTATTTCACCTTCATTAACAGGGTTATTAAAAGGAATAGCTACACCCCCATTAGCAACAGCTCCTAACTCATACATTCTTTCTTTATACCACTTATTCAATAGTGGTGGGTCAATCCAACGAAAATACCCACAGTCCTTCTCTTCATCCTACATAACATAGCAAGATGCATGTTTTTAACATAGAAAAATGGGAAATTTAGAGGATTAGAAGAATTTGAGTGAGTTTTGAAGATTCTATACCATGTAATTTGGGCAACCAAAAAACCTCCGACCTGGATTCTTTCGAGTCCATGATGTCCACATCCCAACCGTATCTCCACAATAGCACGTTCTGATGTTGGTGCTTGACGAACTCGACATCGATTTCCTGTTGCCAATTTGCCCTAATCGTTCGCTCCTTTGACTGGAGATTGAAGAAGACGAGCTCGATTCAATGATTTAGCCCTCTTAAATGGCACGTAGGATGTTATTTCACATGATGACTTCCACGTAAGCTGCCACATCAGTTAGATACCGGCTAACCTATTAAATATCTCGTTTTGATTACGTTTACAGATATTTAGGACTAAATTGCAAAAAAAAAATATAAGGATTAAATCGATTATACGGGCAATACTTAGGGACTTTATTGTAGTTTTCCCATAATAAAAAAACGTTTTTAATGTGGCAGTGACCGGGTGGAAACGCATGGTCCATTAATGGCATTGCATGAGAACGATGTCGTTATGGCGCCACGCGCCAGCTAGCACCCCCCCCTTGCCCTCTCAATCCATCGTTCAAATCGGACAATCGCTCCATATTCTCTCTTTGCAACTAGCACCCCCCTTGCCCTCACTGTCACTGACCTCTCCTTACTCTCTCTCTTCGACGATAAAGCAGAATTCGGTACCTCTTTCTTTCTCTCTCACACATACACGCACTTACTTACTTTCCATCTCTCTCTACATTCAAATGGGTGAAAGGTTTCGTGAAGCTTTTGTTTTTGTTTAATTTGTGTTTCGTCTTATTGTGCAAGTAGATTAGGTTTTCGTTACTCAGTTTTACTCTCTAGTACGTCTTCGTTCCCGAAAGTAGCATATAGTTATATATTGATGGTTCGACATAGTTCTTTGTGAAACACAAATTGATATATTATTTGACTTTCCAGATGTGGATTTTGTTATAAAATCAACTCATCGGCTGCTATTATTAATAGCTTTTGGTCGATCTATTGAACTTTTTCCAAATATTAGGTTTAATTAGACCAATTTTGTTTAATCTCTTAGTATTGGTAAGAACTAAGAATGCTTCAGTTCCACGATTGACTTGAAGTTGACGAAGAATTTTGCTTAATATCCAGAGTCAGGGAGTATTCTTGTAATCAAATGTGTAATTTGTTAACGCAAGTAAGGTTCACCTCAGATCTTCACCTTTTCTTTTTAAGGGATAGAAAGATGTTTCTTTTTCTTTCTTTTTTTATTTGGGGAAGGGGCTCTTGTCAAACCTAATTTTGACTTGAAAAGTCAACCGTTTAAAGTCTAAAGTTACCAATGATGGAATACTTTTGAGTTTTGGCTTTAGTACACGATCTGAAAGTAATTTAATCTTTATCAACAAACACTTTTTGTTAAATTCAAAATTATAAGTAGCAAATTAACAATTAGCGTTGCTCATTTTTAAATTTTCCAACCACAGGAGCCATGCCTGAGGGTATAACATCTGAAAATCTCATGAACAACATCATGGATACACTCTCTGATAAGCTCCAGAAGCAGAATTCTGGCTCATTCTTCGTTGAAGAAAAGTCACACACAGTCTCTTCTCAGTTCAATAAGCTCTTTGGGAGACAGAAGCCCATTCATCACATTTTAGGGGGTGGCAAATGTAAGCTTCATCTCTTCATTCTTTATTAACCTTAGACTAATGGTATCTATTTCTTTTTCTTTCTTTCTAAAATGACATTATCTTCTTTTGTAGCTGCTGATGTGCTCTTATGGAGGAACAAAAAGATATCAGCAGGTGTCTTATGTGGTGCAACTGCAGTTTGGGTGCTCTTTGAATGGCTTGACTACAATTTCCTTCCTCTTGTCTGTTTTGGTCTGGTTATCTGTATCATTGGTCAGTTTATCTGGTCAAACCTATTGAACAGGGCCCCACCCCGTGTTACTCTACCAGATGAGCTATTTGTGAACGTTGCTAGAATAGTAGGTGATGAAGTGAATCGTACTCTGGGTTACCTTCAGTATGTTGGTTCTAGAGGGGATATCAAACAACTTGCATTGGTATGTCTACCACACTATTATTTAAAATATTGACAATTTCTAATTTTTTTTTTCTTCCAAATTGTGTTTAGGTTGTTGGGGGATTGTTAACTGCAGCAATAATTGGAACCTGGTGTAACTTTTGGACTGTTATTTACATAGGTAAGATCTTCCTTTTGTCTTTTTAGCTTCCTTATGAGATGTATTGTTCATTTATTTATTCATTTATTTAGGTTTTGTGGCTGCTCACACTTTGCCTGTTGTGTATGAGAAGTATGATGACCAAATTGATAGTGCTGTGTACAATCTGTTTGGAAAGGTTCAGAACCACTATAGTAAGCTTGATACTAGTTTGCTAAGCAGAATTCCCAAGGCAAAAGCGAAGAAGTTTGCATAATTCTATATGAACATGTTGCAAATGTTATGTAAGTGTAACTCTTGCCATTTAGACTGCTTATGGTGTGTACTTATCAGTAGTTTTGCTAATAAATCAGTGTCATTGTGATGCTTAGACTGTAGATATTGCTTAGATGCTGTTTTTTTTTTCCCATTAAGTCTTGTATAGCTGTTTGAATTGAGTGCTTAACCCATAAAGGGATAACAATATGATAACTAGAATATGCAGCATTTCATCATTCCTCATATTAAATACATATTTTTTAAAATAAAATGTCAAAAATAGAAGGTTTCCTGGTAGATTACAGTTGTTGAATATGAAAGGGAAGTGAATGTTGATGGGGTTGACTTTCATGTAGTTAGTGGTAAGATTGAATTGAGACCTTTGCTTGTGGGCCACCTTGAACATACACAAAACTGCACTCAGAACCAGGTTTGATGACCTTACTCCATTGTGGAAGCTCGTATATGTTCTTAGTCAGGGTTGGAGTCAATCCCCAAAGAGAGCCTGATAAGTTTTCAATTACCAACTTCAAATCCGTGATTGGTTTTTCTGATGTGTTCTTGATTATCACCTTGTGCCTGTAGTATTGAATTCCCCCAACTGTCCATGAGTTCGTGATCGAGTGCAAAAATTCAACTGGCGCTCCATATGGTTTCGTAGGTGCTTTAGCATGGGAGTCTAGAACAAAAATATGAAGTTTAGAATTTATAGTATTTTTGTTAGTAGAAAAACTAAAGGTTAGTTGTGGTATTTCACTCACATGAACCGGGGTGTCCCTTGGTTGGGGAAGGTGATGTGGTGGGTATTGGACCGAGGTTGAGGCTATGTAACTTTGAGAAGAGTCCAACAAGAGGGGCAGTCCCGGAAAGTGTTGGCTCGGTTTGTTCGTAATTTGATCGATCATCATCGAAATTGTCGTTACGGTCTGGACCACCGACTAGACCGCCGTGGATCACGTTTGGGTTAGCCGCTGGCCGGTGGTACCATGCATCGAACCCTTGTACGCACCCGACCACTGAGTGGACTACAGATATAGAGGCGATTGAAGCACCCCTGTGGTGGACATGAATCGGGTAGTTTGGTCCGTATCCAACAATGTAACTCATGGATTTTGGATTTTTCCCTAGGATATAATCAGCCTGCATGCGTGATAGACACCCTTTCGTTAATCAAATGAATCGAGTGTTTACTTTTTTTTATACAAAAAGTGGATTGAAATTACTCAATTAGACATGCCTGAGATTTGGCGAAAGTGAGGAGTTCGTGAGGTTGAACATTGGCATCGGGACACGTGAGAACCGACTTAGCTGCGGTGAGATAGTCCGAGTAGACCGCAAGAAGAAACGCAGCCGACGCGGCGTATTGCATGTTGTTCCATTCGTGCAAGTAGAGCAAGCCACCTGTATTAAAAGAAATATATAATAAGTACACTGACCGAATAAACAGGTTGTATGTATGTGTGTCTGAATTGCATTGGACTGTGATTGTGATTGAGGTGAAAGATAAGTTTTAGTGACGAACCAGGAGTCATGGGTGCGTTGTAGCCGTCATTCTTTTGCTGGCAAGCACACGCAAAGTAGTCGGCTTTTGCCTTATATTGTTTCAACGTGGCGGTATACGCACCACCATGTCCATCCAACAACACCTTGGACAGGAGAATCTGGACACCAGCGTATTTATTATCCCATGAAAATTCCTTCGTTGCCCACCCAGTGCCGCCCATGGAGGCGGCATTGTCCACCACGTATTTCAAGTACGACTCATCATTGGTTGCCCGGTACAACCACGTAGCCGCCCACAAAAGCTCGTCTTCAAACCCAGATGATGTATAAAACTCCTTGGCACACGGGATTGAATCCGTGAACAGTCCCCGAAACCGATCCGCAAACCAAAAAAGCTGTGAAACAAAACATAAAGTTTAATATCAGACTCATCTAATTAACAACTCGAAAGTGATCGGAGTGCATGATTCCATTCCAACCTGTTTAGCGTGAACCAAGAGTAAATCAGAGTATGATGAATTGTAAGGCCTAAACGCCATAGAGGCGGCAGCCATGGCGGCTGCGGTTTCTCCGGCGAGATCGGATCCCGGATGTTCAGTGTCTAATTTATACGCGGTTCTTGGTGTAGTCATATCCTCAGCCCTCTCCCAACAGTAGTGATCCGAGTCTCCATCACCTACCTGTAACCACAAGTTTCCACTCTTTAGGTGACCAAATTTTATATTTCTTAGATATACAACATATAGTTGTGGTAGGAGGGAAAATATCAAATAAACATTCAAGTTATTTGCGGTGGTTAAAACCGTTAATTCATACCTGTCCCCAAAGAACATTAGGTTGTGAATGAGCTTTGATGAAGTAATCAGTACCCCATTTAATGGCATCCAAAACATGCCCCATTTGATTAAGATCCATCATATTTCTATGATACTCTATTGCGCCCCATGACAGCATTGTCACCGTATACGCCATTGGTAGTCCAAACTTTACATGGTCACCAGCATCATAGTATCCTCCCACCAAGTTCACCTAAATTCCATTCCCAACACCCACATCATAATTAGGTCTATATAGGTGTACAACCCACAATAGGATGAAGTACAAGCTTACGAAGCAAGAATGATACACTCACCTTTTGTTGGTAACCATCAGTGAGACCGGAATCGCCTCGCCAATTCACTCGTTGAGTCCGTGGTAACTTTCCGGACCTTTGTGCCTCGAAAAACAGCAAGCTTTTGTCAAGAGCTTGACCGTAGTCGAAAGCTGATGATGCATTCATGATGGCCAAAATTAAGAATGTGGCAAAAACATGTCTTGAGTTGACCATGGTGATCGATTGTTGTATGGATCAGTTGAAGAAGGAAGCCGATGAAGAAGAAATGATGTGTTTGTGTGTATATATAGAGACAAAGTATGTATAGATATATCGAGAGAGAGAAAGAGAGTGAGATAGAAGATATGGAAGAAATGTAAGAAAAGGTGGTCGGGTTCACGTTGATCATAAAGAATCGAGGTTAAGGTTAGAGCTCCCCACGTTGTATTTAGTACTTCATCCTTATGATTGCTCGGAGGGTACGATATAATTAATAATCTTTGTTTGGTTTGACTTAACTTTTAGCCAAAATTACATAATTGATCCCTGTAGTGTTATATCTATCAATTTATGGATAACGTCCCTCGATATATGTATTTTTTACTCGGGTCTTAACCAATGGTACCTGCCCCGCGTTAGATGCCGTTAACAGCTCGATGTTAATTTGGCATGAAATTACCATTTTACCTTTTGTGTTATTTTTTTTTAGATTATTTTAATTATTAGTGGGGCAACACACCTTCCACACGTGTCTTACCTTTCTTCTATCTCGTTTCCTCTTGGCAGTGACGATCCCACCTACCTCACCATTAGAAAACACCTCATCCCAACCCTTCCGTCCAGTTGAACCAAAACTCTGGGGAAACCTCGTAGACCATCAAACCCAACCATCTCCATCTCAGTTGTTTTGTAAAGCCACATGTTTTGTTGAGATCTTGGTTTATATTGAATCATTTCCAACTTCCAATTATGTTGAGTGGGCCAAATTTACTTGATATATGGAAAAAACCCTAAGGGAGGAGGGAGTCGTTTCCGCCGAACCCACTGTCACATTAATTTTTTTTTTTTTTTCTTCATATTTCCTAACCCACAACATACGGAAATTCTATATTTTTGAACCATTCAACCCACTCAATTAAAAAAAATATAAACCAAGTTTTAAAACACATGGTACAAGAGAAAATAAGAAAGAGAAAGTAGAGAGAGATGATGATGTGAGTTAGTGCAACCAATCAACCCACTCGTTGAAGCGGGAGTGGTACCGTTGATAACTCTATTGCTAATTAAGATTTTACATTTTATTGTTTTGTATTTTTTTAATTGAGTGGGTTGAGTGAGTTAAAAAAGATAGGGTTTCTGTATGTTGTGGGTTCGAAAAGTTGAAGAAAAATAAAAAAGAAAAAGTGATGTGGCAGTTGGTTCAGTGGATTGGGAGGGAACGACTCCCTCCTCCCTGGGAGTCGTTCCCTCCCAACCCACCGAACTCACTGTCACATCAATTTTTATCTCTTCTTTTTCATCTTTCCCAACACACAACACATAGAAACCCTATTTTTTTTTAATCCACTCAATTAAAAAAATACAAAACAACTAAGGTACAAGTTTTAAAACACATGGTACAAGAGAAAATAAAAAAGAGAAGGTAGAGAGAGATAATTAAGTGGGTTAGTGAAACCAATTAACCCACTCGTTGAATGGTACCGTCGATAACTCTATTGCTAATTAAGATTTTATATTTGATTGTTTTGTATATATATATTTTTAATTTAGTGGGTTGAGTGGGTTCAAAAAGATAGGATTTCCGTATGTTGTGTGTTCGGAAAGATGAAGAAAAATAAAAGAGAAAAAAATGATGTGGTAGTGGGTTCAGTGGGTTGGGAGGGAATGACTCCCTCCCCCCTAAGGGAGGGGGGGAGTCGTTCCCATTGAATCCATCGAACCTACTGAACTCACTGCCACATCAGCTTTTCTCTTTGATTTTTCTTCATCTTTCCGAACTCACAACACACGAAAATCGTATCGTTGTTAACCCACCCAATTAAAAAAAATATACAAAATAATCAAGGTAAAATCTTAATTAGCAATAGAGTTACCGCCGGTAACACTCTTTTCGGCGTGTTGTTTAATTGGTTTCATGAACCCACTTCATCCCCTCTCTCTACTTTCTTTCTCTCATTTTCTCTTGTACCATATGTTTTAAGACTTGTACCTTAGTTGTTTAGTATTTTTTTTAATTGAGTGGATTGAAAAAGATATGATTTTCGTGTGTTGTGGGTTCGGAAAGATGAAGAAAAATCAAAGAGAAAAACTGATGTGGTAGTGAGTTCAGTGGGAACGATTCCCTCCTCCCTAAGAAGTTGTGGTGAATCCTTGATACCTTAGGTCAAGCCAATGGTAGAGATCGAAGATCGCCATAGAACGTAATTAATCTTGAAAGTGTTGTTTTGTGACACATCTCCGTTTATTTGTTGTCTTTTTAGTGGTCAGTCAACGATATAATAAATCATGGTTTGAGTTAAAAAAAAATAGTTTGGTAGTAAAAAAAATTATTATGAGCTGTAATGACTAATAATTCACAGTTGGATGTTTTTATGTTTTTTTCTTTGTATGTTATCGTAAAACACATTGAACTTAAAAACACTTTATAATTAAACAAAAACAAATTATATTAAAACATATATAATCAAATGAGAAATTATGATCTTAAACTGTGAATGTTGTGTTGGGGTGCAAACCTAATCCCACATTGGTAAAATAAGAAATTTGATGCTAGCATATAACTCAATGAGCAATCCCTTCTATCACTACTTGGTTTTAGAACATAAAACCTCATTGATCTTAACATGTTGTAATTAGTAATTTAGTATTTCTTTTATTTTGAAATATATCAATATTAATATTAATTGTAATAACAACAAATTATTAATTTTCATATGGTTGGTTATTTGTTTTTGGCATTGTTGATTA